AAGGAAATGATTATTAAAAGTCAGGATAGTGGTTACCCTTGGGAGGAGGGTGGGCATTGTAATGGGCTTTTTTCTGTTTGTTTTATATGAATAATAAGCATGATAAATATGAACACAAGGGCAAACATTTTCTTCTATTTTTTTCCCCCCATAGGAGAATATACATACTCGGGAAGAGATAGTTTGATTTTTTTGGTTGATGGTTCTAGGGCCATGTTTGAATCTCAGGGTGAAGTTGAACTGACTCCTTTTGACATGAGCATCCAGGTAAGACTACCTTCTATTTAATTAAAAAAAAGAAAGAAGGAGAAAAAGAGAAAAGTATTAACACCACTCTAAAAATTATGGACTCTGAAAAATTTGTTTGTGAATGATCAATGTTGGTTGGCCTCCCAGGATTGCTACCTATATTCTGAGCTGAAAAAAAGGTAGCAGTGCTGGAGAACAGGCCCATTTTATTCTGTGTTTGAACTTCAGACCCTAGGAATACATTGCTCCCACTTCCTGCGTTAGCCCGGATGGTACAGAAGGGCTTCTCCTTCCATAGAGATGTGCGTGTGAAGGAAGAAAGGAAGTTCCAGTAGTTATGGTGTCAAAATGAGTCCTCTTGTAATTGGTATTTAGAAGTTGAGTATTACCCGTGGTTGAAAAAAGGTTACAACAAAAAGCCTCATTTAAAAATGGGCATAGAATTTGAATGTACATTTCTCTAGAGATCTACAGATGGCCAAGAAGCCCACAAAAGGATGTACAACATCTGTAGTCATTAGAGAAAAGCAAATCAAAACCACAGTGAGGTATCACAACCCACTAGCATGGCTATATCTTAGAGGGGAAAAAAAAAGATACTAAGAAGCATTGGCAAGGATGCGGAGAAATTGGAAACCTACATTGCTGGTGGGAATGTGAGATGGATTGGCTACTGTGGAAAACAGAGTGGCAGTTCCTCAAAGAGTTAAACATAGAATTCCCATATGACCCAGCAATCCCTCTCCCAGCTAAATACCCAATAGAGTAAAAAACAGGGACTCAAGACCTGATTCTGTCACTTACAAACTATATGATGTCAGAAGAGTTGCTGAACCTTTTGGTATCTATTTCCTCATCTGTATAATGGAGAGAATAATAGTACCTGCCACATCAAGGAGTAAATATTTTGTTTTGTTCTGTTTTTTTTTTAAAGATTTATTTATTTAAGGGGCGCCTGGTGGCTCAGTTGTTAAAGCGTCTGCCATCAGCTCAGGTCATGATCTCAGGGTCCTGGGATTGAGCCCCGCGTTGGGCTCCCTGCTCCACGGGAAGCCTGCTTCTCCCTCTCCCATTCCCCCTGCTTGTGTTCCCTCTCTCACTGTGTCTCTCTCTGTCAAATAAATAAAATCTTAAAAAAAAAAAAGGATTGGGGCGCCTGGGTGGCTCAGTCGTTA